ATGCAAATCCAGACTTTTGAAATGCATTTAAACAATGTCAACAGTGATGAATTTAGCAGCTTAATACAAGAAACATTTGTTTTCTCCCTGTTTCTGTGGGCAGGAAAACTAGGCATGGAAGGGCTTAGCCCCCTGCAGAGGTTCTCACAAGGAAACAATCATGGAGTCAGGTTGGTCGAGAGTCGGCTCAAGGCTCGTACAGAGCTGTCTGCTATGGGGCTGACTCGATGGTTGGGAAGAATCCGCTCAACTGGTGGATGACGGTCTCAGTTCCTCACAGGCCTTTGGTCATAAGTCTCCCTCAATTCCTTGTCAGGCAGACTGCTCCAAAAGACAACATGTCGGCTGGTATCCCTCTGAACAAGTGAAAAAGAAGGCAAGACAGAAGTCATTTTTTTGTAACCTTATAAGTGACAATCCATTTTTGCCATATTATGTTCATTAGAGATGACTCACTAAGTCAGCTCTACCTCAGTTGGAGGGAATTAATCCATGAGGGCATCATTTCAGATGGCAGAAACTGCTCGCCATAGAACTGTACTTTTTGGTGATGTTGGATTATAATAGACAATTTGAAATGGTAGAGATCTAAATGTTACTAAATTCACCACATCCCTGTCAAATTAATGCATGTTTCCGGCTACAGACTTACGATCTGATAATAATAGCAAGCAACTTAGTTAGACCATTGTGAAATATCTTTTTTTTATTTTATTAATTAATTTATTTTTTAATAGTGAGACATCATGAGGTACAGTTGCAGACTTACACATTTTTGTGCTTGGGTTTCAATTATACAATGATCAAACACCCATCCCTCCACCAGTGCACATTTCCCACCACCACGGATCTCCGTATCCCTCCCACCCCCCAGCCCCCATCCCACCCTGCCTCTGTGGCAGGGCAGTGAAATATCTTTTTGAGCATTTTTCTTACCTACATTTCCATCAGCTTTCACCCCAATTTTACTACAGGAGTAAAAGAAAAATTCTTGGTAACTAGAAGAACCATAAAATGACACATCTTAAAAAGAATTTCCCTTCTGATTCCAGTTCTTTTATTTCACAGTGTGGAAACACTGAGGAAATAATGTGCTCATGGAAATATAGCTTTGGCACTAGTTAGGGGATCCCAAATAGGTTTTGATGAACAGAATGCTTTTAGATCAGGGCCAATTGCACTGACATCACTGAGAGGAGCAGACCATGGATATGAATTAGGAAAAGCAGGATGAAAAATAAATAAGAGAAAAAAAGCGTGCAAGAGGAAAATAGAGGGAAATGGAGTAAGAGAAACAAGACTGCGAAAGAGGGAGAGAAAAAAAGGCAGAAGTATGTTCACTGCAGGCACTTCTGAGATGGTGCCCTGACTTTCCAAGGAAGCTGCTTTATATGGCGACATTCTGGTGCAGCCTTCAAAGCAACAATTGAACTTTAGTGTACAATCACTGAAAGGCAGTGGAGTGCAGTGGTCAAGACTGTAGACCTCTGCAGTTGGAACGCCCAGACTGGAACCCCAGCTCTGCCACCAGCACTGTGACTTCTGGAAGATATGCAACCCTTTCTAAAATGGGGTTGATAATTCAGTAGTTCACACTTCATGAGATGAGGTGATGTACATGTGACGTGTTCAGTGGCACACACATGGAAAACTTTATTATTACCAAGTGACAAGACAAGGAAAGTCCTGTGCACAGCCTCACCTATCTTTGAGGAGGGATAAAAGGGGGTCAGAGGAGAGGGTGAGCCTGAGGAACGTGGGAGCCCAGTTACTGTGTGAAGAGGTGTACTGTGCATGCGTATCCCTGGCAATATTCAGCCACGTCAGAATGCCTCATGCCTCACCAAGCAAATCGAATAGATCGTCCTCTTGCCCACTCAGGCATCTATTTAATCCTTTCTGAGATCATTCCTCTTTGCCCCTCTTGCTCCCTTCATCTCAGTTCCTCCTGCAGCAGCTGTTTGGTTCTCCCTGTCACTCATCCGCTCCGGAGGCTAATCCTCAGCAACCAAGGGTTATAATGCAATTGAAGAAACAAGACTGTAACTGAAGTTATATAAAAAATTTACACGATCGCAAGTATATATTATCAAATCATTTAAATTTTTTATTCTGTCAGCTTCCTGTTTCCCCCCAGTGTGTTTCCTGCTTCTTTGTTCTTTTGATCCAATCGTATATTCATTCAACAAACACCAAACAATTTCAAACTAAGAATTTGTGGAGTATCTATTTTGCCCAAGACAAAGTACCTCTGCATTCTAAGGAATCTCCCAGTTGTCAGCACCCAGCCGGCCTCCATTCACCAGTGTTGGCCCCAGCCTGCCTTCATGCTCCAGTCACAGGCTTGAAGAGAAAGAGCAGCTCTCAGCAGAAGCTGGAGTTTTTGAGGGAGAATCTTTTTGTTTTTGTTTTTGTTTTGGGTCACACCCGGTGATGGTCAGGGGTTACTTCTGGCTGTGTACTCAGAAATTACTGCTGGCATTGTTTAGGGGACTATATGGTATGTGGGAGATCGAGCCATGATGGGCTATGCACAAGACCAGCACCCCATTGACTATAAGATGGCTCTGGGCCCTGTGTTTCGGGAGAATCTTTGGGAGAGCGTACCACTGGGGGAAACAGGAAAAGTACTGTTCTGGTGTCCAGGAGGCACAAGCTGCTATGCAGACAAGGGCAAGAACTAGGGCTGCAGAGTGTGTTTGCGGGATGAAGGGAACTTCTTAGAGCATCAGCACTGAGATACACTTGAAGATCCTAGAACTCTAAGCAATTGCTGGAGTGAGGAGTGAGGAGGAACTGGGGGGACAGGGGTGTGTTCTAAAATCCTTCACAGGAGGGCATGATGATGCAATGAAAGTTTAGTTATCATGGTTGTCTGTGTTGGTGGGAAAGGAAGTCAAACAAAACAAAAATAAACTGGACAAATTGTTTGCAAAGAAGACCAGATGTGCATGCAGGTCATTAAAATGTGACTTTTGCAGGGAGGTCTCTACTTGGAAGTAGTGCTCAGGAGGTGTGGGTGCCCACCAGCAATTTATGACTAGTGGTTGAGTACAAGAACTCAGGATGCTGGACTGTTTGGGCTGGCGGTGCCAGGGATCCCCAGGTCAGCCCAGCAGTGCTCAGGGAACTACCAGGTGATGCTTGGGAAAACATGTAGTGCTAGGAATTCAACCCAGGCTAGGCATATGCTAGGCCTTTCCCTAACTGCTGTGCCATCCCATCCCCAAATGTTATTAAATACAATACTCAAAAGGACTCAGGAAAGACTTAACCAGGAATTAGCAAAACTTTGAGCATTAAACAAGTTTTATTTATTTTGGTTTGGGGGCTATATCCAGAAGTGCATGGGACATTTGTGCTTGGGGGTCACTCCCATTGGAGCTCAGTGGGCTCAAGGAGGCAACTAGGGTTTGCCACATGCAAGGCAAGCACCTTAACCTCTGTACTATCTTTCTAGACCAAGAAAAAAGTGTTTCAAGATTAAAAAAAAAAAGGATGAATGAATATTCTAGATGGGGGAATATGCTACGTGTAGGCTTACGGTTATGAAAATTCCTTATCTGGAGAGTAGAGAGGTTAGGGAAAGACTATGAAGGAGGATGCAAGGATTATGGCATTTACCACTATGTTCTCTTTTTGTTTCGGATCACTTCTGGTTCTGGTGGCGCTGAGGGTGGGGGGAGGGGCCGAGAGGAGCATATATATGCGGTGTGGAGGATCAAACCCAGATCAGTCACATGCAAGGCAGCATCTTAGGCCACTATTCCTGGACGGCCCCTCATTGTTTGGTTTTTGGGTCACACCTGATGGTGCCCAAGGCTAACTAACTCCTAGCTCTATGTTCTGGTTCACTCCTGCTGGCGACTGGCGTACCAAATGCGACACCAGTGATCAAAATCCCTTGGGCTCCATGCAAGGCTAGCACCTACCTCCTGTAGTATATCTCCCCAGCAGACTCTGAGCCTTTTAAAAAATATCCCAATCCTCCTAGCACCAAGCTAGACCTGGGGCAGGGTATAGCATCTAGGGACTTCACAAAAGTTTTGTTGAAATAGTCTAGAGAACTGAAGGAAGGCCACAAGAGCGCAGCATGGTGAGTTGGAAAGTGTTCTAGAAGGGGATTAGGGTAGACAGGAAGCAAAGAAGCGCGGGAGGGCAGATTGATATTGTTGCCTATGAAGGACCTGAGCTTGAGCGCAGTGCTCAAGACCTTAAACATTTTCCAGACTGGGGATGGAGTGCGGTGCGGTGGGGAGGGAGGAGGGGGCGTTCCAAACCTGGGCTATCAGCCTACGGAGTATTTGGTAAAATACGCCACCTTTAGAAAAATCAAAATCCACTTTTTACGGTGTGTCTAATTCTCCACGATGTCTCTAAATTTGTAAAAAAAAAAAAAAAAAAAAAAAAAAAAAAGAAAGAAAAGAAAAGAAGCAGCAGCAGCAAATCAGAACCAGTCCTGTTCTCTGTACTCCTTGGACCAGCAGTCAGCATCCACCTTCCTTGGAGGGGGGTTGGGGGGGGATCCCGTCCTAGAGGTGGTTTGCCAAGAATGTTGCAAAAACAATCATCTCAAACCCCAAATCCTTGACCCCCTAACTCACAACCAATCTAAATCACCCCAGATGGTGGGTTTCAAAGAAATGAAATATTTTAAAAGAAAATTTAATAAGGAGGGCGGACCCCACAGACCTCCTATAGAAAGACCTAGACACAAGAGGGTGACCTTAAAAAAAAAACACCCATTTTTCTGGAATCGTCTTCTGTAAGCCAAATCGCTGCTGGTCCCGGAACGCCCCCGCCCCCGCACCTCTCGGCTGCACAAGCTCCCCGGAGGTCGGAGGCGGTGGGGGCGCGGCCGCTCAGGTGAGGGGCTCACGTCGCGCCCCCGGGGCGCGGGCGGCCCGAGCCCATTCGCTGGGACTTGGCCGGGCGGGGCCGAGGCGGGGGACGCGGCCGGGGCGGGAGGCAGGGGGGAAAAGCCATCCGGGAGGCGGCCGGGCCAGACGCAGGGCGGGCGCAGCGGCGGGGGCGCGCGCGGCGCGGGGCCAGCCTCGCTTCTCCCGGGTCGCGGGCGGACGCGCGCCGCAGTCGGAGCCTGAGACGCGCGGGCGGAGGGGACCAGCGCAGGGGCCGCCGGGCCGGGGCTGACACGCACACACCCGCGCGCACACACCCGCGCACACACACACGCACACGCACACGCACACTCCGGCGTCGTCCAGCACCAGCGATCTCGGTGCTTCCCAGGCTGAGCGGACCACCGGCTCCCGGGCTGAGCGGTGGGCGCGGCGCGAGAACGTGAGTAGAGCTCGGGGAGCGTCTGGCGGGTGACAGCCCCGCGCCGGGGGACGCCGACCGCGGCGGTGGAGGGCGCGGGGATGGGGAGGGGTGGCGGGATGCCTGCTGGGACCCCCGGCGGCCCGGGCTGCGGCAGAGCGTGCTCCCGACTGGCAGTGTCGCGCCGGCTGCTTCTCCCTCCCGGCGGCCGCGGCGGGACGGACCTTGTCGCCAAGTCCCCGGGTCCCCCGCAGGCCCCCGCTAGAACCGGGATGAAGGGGACGGGCGCCCCCGAACGACCGGGGTCCCGGGGCCAGTCGCGGCCGGGCACCCCGCCCCTCCTTCCCGTCTGCGGGCAACTTCTGCGTCCGCGCCCCCGCGCTCTCCGGGAAGCCGGGGCCGGACGCTTCTCGGTGGGCAGCCGGGTAGGGAGGGAGGCTGCCGGCCCCGCCACTGCGGCGTCCCGGGTGTGGACACCGAGGACGCGGGACGGCACGCCACTTGCCGGCGGGGCGGGGAGCGCAGGTGCGGGGCGGGCGCGCGGGCGAGGGCGCGTGCGGGTCCCGGCGGACACCCCTGGGCGTGGGCTTTGTTCGCGGGCGCTTCCTTCCACCTGCGCCCGGCGCCCGAGAGTTCCAGAGGCAGGACCCGCCGCCTCCTCTCTCGGCGCCTTGCGGAGAAGTCGGGGGGCTACCCGCGGGCCGGGGCTATCTGGAAGGACGCGGGAGGTAGCGGGGGTTGGAGGGAGAGTGGCCGGTGGCTTCCGGAGGCTTTGTGGGCCCTACAGGTGCGGACCCCGGTGCGTGTGTGTGTTGGGAAGCGGGGATCCCCGTGTCCTCTCCTAGCCACCGAGGATGATGAGACTTATCGAGGCTGGTCCGGCGGGGCTCGGGCTGTCCCCCCGCCCCCGCACATCCCCACTTCCCCGAGCCGGCGTCGCCGGGCGATGCCGAGCTGAGCCGGGAGTGACTGCGGGCGCGGGAGCATCGCCGCAGCGGCCAGCGCCATCTGCACGGGGCGCCGCCCCCGGCCCCCTCCACGCCGCCGAGCGCCGGCTCAGCCTTTCCCGGTTCCGCTTTCCCCGGGAAAGACGGGCAGCGGTCGGCCGAGCCCCGGACTGGTCCTTTTCACCCAGCGCGGGCTACTCCAAGGCAGCCGGCGCCGTTGGAGCGGGTCTTTTGGGTCTGGGTTGCAGTTGAACAGGCCGCGCTCATCCCTTCCTTCCCGTTGCCTCCCCTCCCGCCCGGCTGGCCTCTGCATCTAGTCTCGTCGCCTCCAGCACGCCCAGGGTCGCCCAGCACCGCAGCCGGGCGCCGCCGGCCGGTGGCGTCTTTCCCTCCTGCTGTCCCCCTCCCCCCCCCCTTTTTTTTTTGCACTAGAGGCTCAGAGCCGGTGCTGCACCCGGCGTGGAACTGTCTGTGCTGGGAGGAAAGTGTTCTTCCTTCTCGGCCCCTTCAGGGTCAAGCACGGAGGTGCAGCTCTCAGGAGCTCTGCCCTTACTTGCCCAAGGCCATTGCCCTAGAAGAACGGGGGCGAGTTTAATGGAGCTGGAGGCCTTGGTTCTGCACCAGGAGCTCCCCCTGGGGCTGTCCTAGGAAGGAACATAGTGATCAGGGAATATAAACCTACTAACCTTGTGCCGGGACTGTTTCATGCTTACCATGCCCTGTTATTAAAATATTGTAATAATAGCTCACGAGAGAATTAGACCTTCCGGGAAGTACTGGCATGGATTAAGACAATTGGTTACTTTCTACTTTCATGATAATGATAGTCAACATTTTTCTTTGAGACAGTTTCAGATGTGCTTGGAGTGTATCATTTGTTCCCGCTGTGTAGGTACATGTATCATCTCGTTTAATTTCCCGCATAACCTCATTCTAAAAATGAGAATTATAACGTACACCCGAAGCCTATATAATGTTACTTTTAATTGGAAAGAAAAGTTTTTTTTTTTATTTTAAGTTTGGAGATGAGAAGATGAGACTTTAGGTTGGTACCTAGACTTCCTAGGTACTTCCTAGAAAGGGGGAATCAGGTTTTTCTTTTCTTTCTTTTTTTTTAAAACCCCTGTATTATCATCCAAGATTCTAAAAAATGTGGTGTTTGGGAGACTTATTAGTTTTGGAAAGCCTAAAAGCCAGCCAGTATTCAAAATCAATGGCATATTATAAACCCATTTAATTCTGACCCCTGCAGACCTCACAGTAGCAGGCAATATTGTAACTCAGTGAATTGTATTGTGGAATAGCCTTTTATTGCCCTGTATTACCCTTGAATTCCTTAACATGTTCCTTTATTCCTGTTAGCTTTTAAGTACATGGCAGCTGTTAACCCACAATCTACCCAATTACAATCCCTGGACTGTTCATACTGACCAGAGCCCCCTGCTACCCTGAGAGCCTGAGAGGTTCCTGGCACATCACGGAATGGGTGAAAACTTTTTTTTTTTTTAAAGAAAAGGCAAACGTTTCCATTTGGCAGATGTTTCTGTTTCAGGCTTTGGCCCTGAATCTCCTTTGTAGACTCCTTTGACTGCAGAAGATTTGCTCCTCAAATGATATGTTCAGTTTGAATAGGACACTAACCTAAAATCATAGGAAAGCAGCTGATAACCTAAATATATAAGACTGTGGGCTGCCTTTACAAAAATGCTGCATGTTAAGTAGTAAAAATAAGAATTTGAAGAAAGTGAAATCAACTGTTCCTGGGTTAGCTTTTAGATAGAACCATTGTAATTAACTGACTAATGGGAAAAAATGGATTCATTTTGTATTCTTAATCCTACTGACTCACAGTTTTCTTTCAACCTGCTCTTTATTTTATTATAGGAAAGTTACTAAACATTTCGCACAGTCCAGGAGTTTTAGATGTGTAAGAAAATACTATATCTAAACCTTTGGGTTCAAATTATTACAATGGCCCTCAGAGAGCCTACCCAGGCTTCTAATGCAGAGTAGTCATGAGATCTTTGAATTGTAGGTCAGGGACCTTACACCATCTCATTTTATTCTCAAAGCAGTGGTGATAAATGAAAAGTCATCTTTGGAGATAGTCCTTCCTGTGAGGCTTATGTGACAATGACAAAGATGTGTGAATGCCTTGAAGGTCAAGTGACAATGTTCTAAAAATGTCTATACCTGCAGAGTCAAAGTGATAGTATAGCAGGTTGGGCGTTTGTCTTGCATGGGGCAACCTGGCACCTCAGATGGTCCACCAAGCACCTCCAGCAGGAATTCTTGAGTGCAGAACCAGGAAGAAACTGAAAATTTCTGGGTGTGGCCTAACAAAACAAAAATCCTTAAGGAATCAATTAGGAAATTTCTTTTAGCTATAAACTGGATCTCAGGTACTGTGTACGATCAAAGAAGTTACTTATTGGAACCCCATAAGCAACTTTTCTGGTAGAGGTACTTTGACTGATGCATAAATGTTCACTGAATGCATGGCTTACTGTCCTAGGAACTGAGGATACAGTGGTAAGAAAAGTAAGTTCTGACTCCTGGGGAGAATACTTGTAATTCATCATCTATGACTACATACTTCTGCACTCACAGAATCCTTCTTCACACATCATAAGTTTGCAGCTTGATGAACTTGCACAAACTGACCACAGTTCTCAGTGCTCAGATGAAGGCCATCTGAGAAAGCCTTCTCGCGGCTCCTTTGATCACTGCTTTCTCTCAGTGGTAAACCACTGAGACACCCATATCTTTACCTGGTTTTTTTTACCATAAAATCTTAGCTTGATGAACCTAACAAATTACCATAGATACCATAGACTGGTGACTTAAAGAACAGATGCTGATTTTCTTACTGTTCTGGGGTTTGGAAACCTGAGATCAGGTGGTAGCATAGTTCAGTTTGGATTCACTCTCTTCTTGCCTTGCAGAAGGCATGTTCTCCCTCTGTGCTCATTTATTCCTGCCTCTCTGTATGCCTGTGCAGATCTCTCTCTCTCTCTCTCTCTCTCTCTCTCTCTCTCTTTCTATTCTTCTAAGGCCAAAGATTCTACCAGATTCAGGCCCTATCAGTATAACCCCACTTAATCTTAATTATCTTCCATCTGTATATTTGGATATGGTCACATTGGGGGTTATGGCTTCAGTGCCATGAGTTTGGGGGAGGATACCATTCAGTCCATAGTGTTCTGATTTACTATCTCAGTCCCCTTTGGACTTGCAGTCCCTTTTTCGAAGAACAGTTTCCAGATGAAAGCACCTCAACATCTTTTTGTTTATTTTTGAGCCATACCCAGAGATGCGGGCGGTAAAGGGCAAGAATACCTCCTCCAAGTTGTGCTCAGAGGTCAATCCCCACAGTGTTTCGGGACCATGAAGTGCTAGGGTTCAAACCCAGGCCTCCCTCATGCAAAGTATGCACTCAGCCTGCTGAGCTACTTCTCAGGTCCCAGATAACATTATCAGTTAGACTATAGTGCTTCCAAAGTATTCTCTAGGATGTTGTTTGAGTTTGTGTCCAAAATGCCACATCTTTTAGTTGCTGACATGATTGGTGAAGATTAAGTGATTTGAAAATTATAGAACATTGCTAACGACATTTAGGTAATCTTTGAGATTCTTTCTCCCACCTGAAGGACCTCTAAACCTTCCTGTTCATTGAGGTCCGAGGAGATGCTAAGGATTTCCTAGCATTGGCAGGAATTCAGAGGCTTATCTTATTTAACCTTTGTCTTCCAAGTGAAATTAAAAGCTCAGTTATATTAAAAGTCTTTGTTGGCCTTGGAGGCTCAAGTTTCTTTTCTTTTCTTTCTTTTTTTTTTAAGTAGAGAAAGTTTTATTTGCAGGTTTTGAAAGAGGAGAAGGACAAGAAAGAAATAACATGCTCAAGAGAGAACGTAGGCATCTCCAAAAGCAGAGCTTCAGCACACACCCCAGCATTAGATATGAAAGCATGAAAGTACACATCTCAAGAGGAGATGTGGGTGACACATGTGCTCAGGCACTTGGCCACAACATGGCTTGGGCATCACATGTGCCAAGTTTCTAAGAAAATGTGTC